TTTTCCAGTCTTTTAGGAATTCAATGGGAGCCTCTTTTGCCCTCTCTTCATTTTCTCTGTGCCAAACATTCTGATTTCATATGCAAGTCTTCTAGAAAAGTGATGTCGTAAGATTACTTTTAATCTCAGTTACCGTCTTCAATGAAATTCTTGAAATGCAGAGCCCAGAATTAGGCAGCATAATTCAGAAAAGGTCTGATCAACATAGGGTGAGACAGTAAGTAGTGCCCTCTCTTAAATCTGCTGACTCTGCATTAGAAATGCTGCTGACATCGCCAAGATCTCTGTTCCTGGGAACATCAGGTGATTCTACTGGGTCATGTTGAAACTATAGTCACCTGAAACTTCTAACTATATTCAACCTAGATGGCCCTCATTCTCTATTTTTTAGAACCAAAATAATCTTTCTAAAAAACAAAACTCCCTGTTGACTGCTACCTTAATTGCTTAGGCTGTCTTTCCAGCTCTTGGAAATCTTTTGTAGTAGTATTTCGTCATTCATTGATTGTGTCACCTTTCTTCCAAGTTTTGTGTTATCTACAAATGTAATAAATCTGCCTTTTTGCTCTCCAAATTAATTGATAAACATATTAACCTGTGATTTGCCAAATATAAGCCTCCCTCTGTGGTTCATATTCTTCACTCAGTCACTCCATGACTTCATCCAACTCCCATTTAACCACCTGCTCTACAGAATGGAGAAGAACATGAGTATTATGTTCTGTTTGGGGACATTTATGTCTTTTCTTCTTTTACTCAGTCTCTTTTCTTTCCCTCAAACTCTACATTCTTCATTCCTTCACATAGTGGTGTTGCACATCCTGTTCTTGTATGTGGATCATTTTCTTGTGTTTTCATTTGCTGTAGGGAGAAGAAACTCTGTTGTGTTTTTTGGGATCGTTTTGCCTTCTGCCTGTGTGCAGGGATAGTGGAATCTGTGCTTGCTCCAGGAGGCGTTGTCATGTACAGGGAATCAGCCTCTGTGCAGGTGTGGTGTTTTCCCATGTGCTCATTAGCATTTGGCAGAAAACGTGGCTGAGATTTCATCAATACCCCCAGACCAAGTTATTTTCCTCCACCTCCAGGATTCCTCAAATGTCAAATGAAAGTTTAAAGAAAATGTAAACATAAAACATATGTGTGTTTGGTGATGGGGGAGGGGACAATGAACTTACTGGATAGTCCTCACACCCTTCACACTTTAATTTCAATATTATTGCATCTATAACCGAATGGATATTGCTGATAGGGAAAAATAAATATTCAAAACAAATAACCAAGCATCATCCATTATCCAATGGAAAGATGACATTAACATAAACTGCTTTGGGCACCAAAAACTTGCGGTTCTGCAGAGATATTCTGCAGAGTAGCTCTGGGTTAAGGTCACCAACTTCTGCCTCATCAAAACATTTCACCTGGAAAGAGTTAATGTCACACTGGAGTAAGGCTAAGAAAGGCCCCTTCTAAACTTTGCCCATCTGGGTGATTTTACTTTAAAAAAAGTCTTCCTCATGTCACTTTGTGATTATTATTATTATTATATAAATTAAATGTGGATCAGGATAAGCAAGTAGGCCTGTGTTCATTCAAGTATGGGAAGCAGTTGACTAGTGGTTTAATAAGTTGGCTACTTTGGTTAATGATTTTTTTTTAGATGTTTGATCCCTTATATAGACAAATCAGTACTGGCATTAAGTTATTAACCCTAATTTGAATAAAAGTGTCTTGAACACAACATTATTTCCCTAGTTACCTTGTGAATGAAAGGGATGAGCTCTGGAGGTAACTGAACCTTTTCAAACCCAAGGAGGTACAGGTTATTCCAGCTGAGAATATCAGGGAGCTAAATTAGATTATGTGCTTTAATATTTCAGAGGGAATCCTGAGATCATCTGAACCAAGTTAATAAGTACTACAAATGTATAGTAAATCCTAGAGAATGACAAGAAGACCTAGTCAACATCCAAAGGCTAAAGGTAAAAATGAGTTAGGGTTTCCTGACAATGGACTTTATGTTTATTCATTCATTCATTCATTCATTCATGTAGTCATGTAGTCAGTATATATCAAGGGACTATGATGTGTCAGACATTCTCTTAGAACTACAATATCCTTATAACCTTCTTCGAGTAAATTCCAGCATCCAGTCTGTATCTCATGGAGTTGTTGTGAGGTTGAGTGACTCAAGTGTGTAACACTCTAGCAGAGTAACGGTTTGGGTGCTCATTGATCTCCTTCCTTCTCCTTATTTAGCATTTAAACCTTTATTTCCCCATGTCATTTGTAATAACATAAGTTTTATTTGTTAATAACAGATGTCTCTCTGCAACTTTGAGTCAACAGAAATTGTGAGTGATCTATGTTTGCAGATGAAATTAAAGTATTTAAGTATTATTACAACTGATCAAATATTTTTGCAAGATAATTCACCAAGTCCAAGGATGTCATTCTTTGCCAAAGAGCACTGACTGCAGTACCTGCAGATCTATGCTTTATTTTTTTAATCTCTTTGCTTCATAGAAAACATGAATAGTGACTTTCTTTCATTCAATTCTAACTGAAACATTTTTCAGTAATAAGAAAAATCTCATAAACCAATTTTCTAAAATATAAGATATGTATAAAACATTCCACATTAAGCATCTCTATATGCATGGGGTGTCAATTAATATGATGTTTTAACAGAATAGGCCCAAGTGAAATGAAAGATAATTCTGTAGATTGAGTATGGTTGTTGTAGTCGCCTTCAGGGTTGTTCTCCATATTTGAATAAATTTTGAAAAATGTTTGGACATACATTATTGTGAAACTACCAAAGACTTCTACCAAATTGACTGTTACTCATTGATTCCATCCATCATTTATGCAGTCAATCTTAATGAGCACCTACTGTTTGCCAGGCACTGTGCATGGGCCCCAGTGTAAAACTACATAATCCTCATATCAAGAAGGGTGCTCTAATGAGAAGATATGTGAACAAATGCAGTCTTATATGGTAACTGATACAAGAGAAAGTGATCTAAGAGCAGTGGGGAAATAGAAAGATCTAGCCAAGTCCATTTGGGGAATTAGAGGCGCCTTCACAGAGGAGGCAAACTGACAGCAAAAAGGTGAGTGGGAGATTATCAGGTGGGTGAGCAGGAAGAAGCCATTTGGCAGTGGGAACCAGACAGGCATTGAGGCTTCGGGAGCCGAGAGCGATCAGGGCATGCGGAAGAGCAGGTCAGTATGGCTAACACGCAAATTACTGTGAAGGCGGAAACAGGAAGGGCTGGTGAGCAATGAGGCCAAGGAGGTAAGGAGAAGCCAGATCATGTGCCAGTGGTTTTCTTCTCTGCAGATTGTGGGGGAAATTATTGGAGAATTTTGTATACATAAGTTTCATAATCAAATGGGGATGTTCTGATTCCTAAAGAAGACTAACAATGTCATGATTCTTTTGTTGTTTACAGGTTACAGAAATGGCACACACACACCCCTTTGTTCCAAGGGGTTTCAATGGTTTGTGGTGTAGTAGAGTGCAGGGATGCCAAGAGAAATATTTGAACTAAATAATATATCAGGGGCAAGTTGTAGCGCTCCAAAATCTTACAACTACAGACTATCTACTGTTAAAAGAACATATGGGATGTGAACAGTTCCCAGGAATGGGTTGTTTTAATTTGTCTGATTTCTCTCAGACTGTTCAAGTACAGTTGGACAATATCCATTATATCATAGACAAATTTTCACAAATGCCTAGGGTGCCTAACTGGTTTTCTTGGC